AAAAAAAAAAAAAAAAAAAGACGCATCATTAAACATATTTTGAAAAAAAAAAAAAAGTTGTTCTTGTAGACTACTTACTACCTACTCATCTTGCTGTACTATCTTTACAAGTTTGTTTTTCTAGTAGCCCAAAAGATCATAAAGAGATGAATGAGTACTTTGTATAATGAATCTCTTACAGTATAGCATACATGGTGGGTGCTTAATGTTTCTTGAATTTATACAAACGTCTTCAGCCGACCTCATCTACTTGGCTCTCTTGCTGTGTTCTTTCACACTTTAAATTTTTCAACCATGCTGTACTCCTCTTACTTTTCAGTAGTTAAGCATGACTTTCTTAATCTGTACCATTACACACATGATTCCCTTCGTAAAATACTTTTCATGTCATCTCTCCTCCTCCAACTTGGCTAGTCCTCCATTCATCTTTAAGACTTTGCTCAGGTGACACTTTTCCAAAACATTTGCTGACTTTAAAGAGCATAATAAACATCCAATAAATATTTGCTAAATAAATGAACCTAGGAAGTTATATTTTCCTTTTCCTTTTTCTTCTTCTCTTCTGGACAAATTGCGAATTATCTTTTCTTTGCATACCAACATACCAAGAACTTGTAACACTAGTACCTCACTAACCTTAACACTCTTAACACATCACTGGCTACATCTGAAACTCTAAAAGTAATCATAATAATAAGCAGCCATGATACAATGTAGATGATGTTCCACCAGGTATTGAAAGACTATCTTGGCAAGTAGTACAATGTTGCTGAAAGTCACCTACCGATCTCTATGCAGTGGATAAACATCCAGCATAAATCTAGTAATACAAATAATGTTCTCCACTCACTCACCAGGTGCCAATGAACTGGCTGTGCAGAAAGCAAAGGCAGAAATCACCAGGCTTATAAAAGAAGAACTGATCCGGCTGGTGAGTGAAAACCTCAAGGACTTATTTGTTTTAGTAAATGTTTTATTGAACTATAATATAAATAAGAAAAGTAGACAAATGATATACATATAGTTTGATGAATTTTCACAAAATAAGCACACTGATGTGATCACTACCCAGTTGAAGAAATACAGAACATCACCAGTATCCCAGAAGCCCTGCTCCTGCCCCTCCTTGTCACTATTCATTGCCCTCAAATGTAACATTATTCTGACTTACAACATTGCAGATTAGTTTCGCCTAATTTTGAACTCCATTTAAGTGGAATCAAATGCTGTGTACTCTTTTATATCTGATTTCTTTCACTCAACATTACTTTGAGGAAATCAGTAGTATTAAATAGTACAGTATTTAAGCATGTGAATATACCACAGTTAATTTATGTTTTAGACTTTGAGGTCATTTTAGTTTTTGGTTTTTATGAATAATACTTCTATGAACATTCTTCCATGTCTCTTCGGTACACTTTAATATATTATTTTCTTGAGTATATACCTTGGACTAGAATTGCTAGTTATAGGGTATGTGTAGTTTAGCAGAGTAGTTACACCAGTTTACATTACTTTCAGCAGTGTATGAAAATTCCAGTTTCTCTACATTTTTGCCAGTGTTTTTAAACTTAGGTGTTTTGAGTGTTTTTAAACTTTGATGAGGACTTAATCTGATTTTGGATAAAGCGGCCTTTTGTAGACCACCTTTCCAAAGGAAGCAGACACATCCCTGTAAACTCTCCCTACAGTGTGTACATTGGGATGAGGACCCTTTGAAAGGAAACTTTATCCTTTCTCTAAGAATGTGTTTTTGAGGGCTTTTCTAAAATTTCCCTTACAGAACATTCTTTCGGGTGGATAAAAAATTTAAAGAATAGAAGGTACACAAAACAAGAGGGAAGAATAAAAACAACGTTTAAATCAAGTGACTTTCACCAAGGAGTGATAGAAAAAGAATGCCACCACCATTAAGTTGGTTCAGAACCGTTGTTAAGGAACAGTCGAGTGAACAGAGGGAGATGATTGTTGAATAGTTCTTTCTTCCTCAATATACTATTAATATTTTTTTATTTTAAATATCTGATAGTTTTATAAGTTTGTAAAGGAAATTACCTAACATATTTCTTTTTTTTTTCTCCCTCTTACTGATCATATGCCTTTTATTTTCTCTTGTAGCAAAATTCATACCAACCAACAAATAAAGGAAGATACAAAGTCTTATAAAACATCTGGAAAAAACTTTTTACCTGTGCTGGTCTGTGATACATGTGGCAATTGTTGTCTGCAGTTTACAGTGTATTTTAAGTTAAGATTTTTAAAATTCTGTCTTGCTGATTTTTTTTTTTTTAAATACAAGAAACCAGTATTTGCTAATGAATCTTCTTTCAGTAAGTATCCCCAGAATTATCAAACTATATTTAAAGTTTTCATTAAAGTGCCCTTTAATGTAAATCTGGATAATATTCCAGAAGCGTAAGAAAATTAAAATATTTGGACTTTCCATTGAAGGAAATAAAGTATATAAGTCGCTAAGGGGCTATTCACCTTATCTTCTTGCAATGAAATTGTGATAATCTCCTCAGAAAAGGTAAAATTCTCTAATTTTGTGACCACCTTAAGCTTAAATCTTACTTGATTCAGTGGAACAATATGAACTATATTTAAGAATATTATAATAGAATTTTTACAAAATGGGTTCAAAGTTTTTGTTTCAATTTTTATTATCATGTATGGGCCATAGTTGGACTGGTTTTTGGTTTTGTAAAATTAAAAATTTGTAGTATAAGAACTTTTTGCATTCCTTTACACTGCTAAGAGTTTTAGTATTTACTACTTTTAGGTTCCCCTCACAACCTCTGGCTCTGTGCCTAGCTACTAACTCTTTTCTGATCTTCCTTAAAAGAAAGTGATTTGTAGCCTATAAATATTAATATGATTGTTTTTTTCCCCTGAAAGTGTTCGTTTATGCATCTGTACATACAAACACCATACCAATCTGATTTTTCTTCAGGATTATTGAATAGGTTGTGAATTTTCTTTCTTAAAAAAAGCATAATGGCACTCACATTTTAAACTTAGACTTTAAGCATGTCTCAGTGAAATTTAGTTCACAAAGAATCATAAATTATATTTTTGAGCCTTCAGATATATTTCCTGAATATTCTAATTTAAATTGTTATAATTGGATCACCTAATTTTTTTCAAGACTCCTGGTGTATTAGAACTTCATATTGTTGTCACTTCTTGAAAAAATAAAATTTTCAGGAAATAAATAGATGTATCTCTTAAATTAAAAGATATAGAAGTTCCTTTGAGTATTCTTGACTTAGAGTTTTTAAAAAAGAAAAAACCCAAAGAATATTATAGCTGTTAAATTATTTTAATAGTAGGTTAGGTGGTTAAAGTGACAAAGAGTATCAATCATGATTTCTTCTATATAAAGTTATCCTTAATGAAAATATAAGGTATAACTTGGAAATATTCTTGGATCCCTCGCATATCCTCTTTTTTTCTTAGAGGAAGAAAACAGACACAACACAGCAACAGAACCAAATAAACCATTTACTATAAGATTTCAGGCATCTTGGGTTCCTCCCCCCTCCCCCCATTTTATTTATATCCTTATTTTTGTTACCTAGTGATAGTTTGTTTCTTTTGATAGAATATGTTGCAGTCCCACATTGATGGCAGTTGGTGCTCCCTTCAGCCTGCTCCATCACTTGGAGATTCAGAGTTTTACATCATTTTAGCATTATTACCTTTATGTTTGTATATCTAGTTGTAATAAGCCACTGATAGTACTTTGTTAAAATGAAGCACATTTCTCTGTTATTACATTTGTTTTGTTTTGTTTTGTTGTTGTTGTACGCGGGCCTCTCACTGTTGTGGCCTCTCCCGTTGCGGAGCATAGGCTACGGACGTGCAGGCTCAGCGGCCATGGCCCACAGGCCTAGCTGCTCTGCGGCATGTGGGATCTCCCTGGACCGGGGCACGAACCTGCGTCCCCTGCATCAGCAGGTGGACTCTCAACCACTGCACCACCAGGGAAGCCCCTGTTACTACATTTTTTTAGTGTCACACTCCTTGATTTTTAAGATTTGAATGATGTACCGGTTAATTTGTTTTTTTAATGCAATATCAATATTTGCTCATGTTTTCTAAATTCCTTATAAAATAAAGTTAATTTAGTCTGAGTTTTCCTAAAATTATCTTTGTTGAAATGTTTTCTGCTGTTTATCTAATTTTGTTTACATTGCTAGGCATGTGAGAGAGGTATTATACTCTATCTTTTTAAAAAAATTCTAGCAACACAAAATGTATAGTTCTATCCAAAAATATCTTCCTGAAGAAGGCTCTTAGTCTTTAATGGTGTTTGTATTTGGCCTAAGATAGGCTGTAGGTGAAATAATGGGTCCATGTGTCAGTTGGTGTTTTATCACAGTGACACTCATTCTTAGAAAATGGAAGTATAGAATGAAATGATAATGGCTAGATTCTCTCCAACTCCTTTTAGACAGTTTATTATCTGATATATTTCATACCTTACTAGCCTTGTTGGTATGCACATGGTATTGAACTGGTAGTCACAGTATACCTGTGACTGCAGTCCTTCTTTTGAGGGAGGCATCCCCTATGTGCAAAGAAGTTTTTGTTTGAGCAGAACCAGCTCTTGAGTACCTGGGATGTATAAATCCTACGAAGCCAGCTGTGGAGCCCACTTCTGAATAATTCATCAGCACCTTAAGAATCACATGCTAGAGAGCAAAGCCTCCAAAGTTATAACTTGTCTGTGTGTGAGCTCTTTTTCCTATGATGCCTTGCTTTGCTTTATAAAACCATCAGCTAAAGTCCTTTAGTGGCAGATAACATAGCACTTGTTTAAGATAAGAGCTGGGGAGGCTTCCCTGGTGGCGCAGTGGTTGAGAGTCCGCCTGCCGATGCAGGGGATACGGGTTCGTGCCCCGGTCCGGGAAGATCCCACATGCCGCAGAGCGGCTGGGCCTGTGAGCCATGGCCTCTGAGCCTGCCCGTCCAGGGCCTGTGCTCCGCAATGGGAGAGGCCACAACAGTGAGAGGCCCACATACCGCCAAAATAAATAAATAAATAAAATAAATTAAAAAAAGATAAGAGCTGGGGGTCAATATAAAAAAAAAACAACCCAATCCAAAAATGGGCGGAAGACCTAAATAGACATTTCTCCAAAGAAGATATACAGGTTGCCAATAAACACATGAAAGGACGCTCAACATCACTAATCATTAGAGAAATGCAAATCAAACCACAATGAGGTATCACCTCACACCGGTCAGAATGGCCATCATCAAAAAATCTACAGGGACTTCCCTGGTGGTGCAGTGGTTAAGAATCTGCTTGCCAATGCAGGGGACACGGGTTCGAGCCCTGGTCCAGGAAGATCCCAAATGCCGTGGAGCAACTAAGCCTGTGTGCCACAACTACTGAAGCCCACGTGCCTAGAGCCCGTGCTCCGCAACAAGAGAAGCCACCGCAATGAGAAACCCGTGAGCCACAACGAAGAGTAGCCCCTGCTTGCCACAACTAGAGAAAGCCTGTGCCCAGCAACAAAAACCCAACGCAGCCAAAAAATAAAGAAATTTTAAAAAATCTGCAAACAATAAATGCTGGAGAGGGTGTGGAGAAAAGGGAACTCTCTTGCACTGTTGGTGGGAATGTAAATTAATACAGCCACTATGGAGAACAGTATGGAGGTTCCTTAAGAAACCAAAAATAGAACTACCATATGACCCAGCAATTCCACTACTGGGCATATACCCTGAGAAAACCATAATTCAGAAAGAGTCATGTACCACACTGTTCATTGCAGCACTATTTACAATAGCCAGGACATGGAACCAACCCAAGTGTCCATCAATGGATGAATAGAAAAAGAAGGTGTGGCACATATATACAATGGAATATTACTCAACCATAAAATGAAATGAAATTGAGTTATTTGTAGGGAGGAGGATGGACCTCGACTCTGTCGTAAAGAGGGAAGTAAGTCAGAAAGAGAAAAACAGCGTATGCTAACACATATATATGGACTCTTAAAAAAAAATGGTTCTGATGAACCTAGGGGCAGGACAGGAATAAAGACACAGATGTAGAGAATGGACTTGAGGACTTGGGGAGGGGGAAGGGTAAGCTGGGATGAAGTGAGAGTAGCATTGACATATATACTACCAAATGTAAAACAGACAGCTAGTGGGAAGCAGCTGCATAGCACAGGGAGATCAGCTCGGTGCTTTGTGACCACCGAGAGGGATAGGATAGGGAGGGTGGGAGGGAGGCACAAGAGGGAGGGGATATGGGGGTATATATGTATACATATAGCTGATTCACTTTGTTATACAGCAGAAACTAACACAACATTGTAAAGCAATTATACTCCAGTAAAGATGTTTAAAAAAATTTAAAAAGAGAGGGGCTGGGGGGGAAATGGTAGTTGAAGTGAAGTCCAGGGTAAAAAACTATATTTTGTTTAGTAAAATGCCCCATTCTGGTCCTTTTTAGATGAGGGATGCTAAGTTCATGTAGAAGGCGTGAATTCTGAGTGGCTAGCCCAATGTGGTCAATGAGAATACTCTTCCTCTTAGAACTGAGTCTGGAGCTACCAGTTCTTCACATTGTGGTATATAGTTTTATGTAAGAATTGGAATCTATTGACATTTTCTTATGCCTTCTGCTTCTGGCATGAAAAGCTGAAGTTAACCTTTAAAAAATGTGTGTATGTAAATACAAAGAGAGAAAGAGAACGGATGAGTGTGTGTGGATAGGTAGAGGGGATGTCAATATTTTATTCAGTTTAGGTGTTGTAACCACCAGAAAACCTTAATAAATTCTCACTGGAGTGAGGCATTTGACTTGGAGTATAGCAACATCTTAAATGTTGCTTAGTGAAACATATGCTGTGTTCTTAGGCCAGCTCTCTGGAGCTAAAGGTGGCTACATTTCCATCACTAGGTAAAGATTCCCTGGTGTATTACCAATTGCAGATATTTGAAGGTCCTTTTTTTTCTGTATCAACTTATAATTTTACTTGAGCAGGAGTCCAAATAGAGACATGAAGAAAAAGCGTAAGCAAATGAATTCTTTGCAATATCCCAACAATATCAGTGGTCTCACCTTTCTGGGGCTTTATGGCCAAACTGGTATGTAAGTGCATACCATCAAATCACATGACTAGTGAGGAATTTACTTTTGATTATTTATCTTGACCTTGTTCTCTTCCAAATACGGCATAAGCCTATAGAAGTTCATGATTTTGAAGCTCAAGCCTTTAAAAATTCTATATTTGTGTTAACCTTGTTCTTCTAGAGGGGAAAAATGTGAAATAAAAAAAGTTTTAACCCCTTTAGAAAACTGAAACTCAGAGTTACTCTCACAGATATCATTAGGATTACTGTAAAATCTATAGAGTTTCAGAATTTAAGAAAATCCTAATTATCTTTAATAAATGGAAATATGTGATACTTCATGTTTTGAGTATTAGTCCCTTTTCACAATTTTGCCTATTATAGAATAAAGAAAATGTGAGGATTCAGTATGAAAAATGTGCTCTTTGACTACAAAAAAAGCATGTCATTTGAACTTGGCACTTGGTAGTAGGTGGATTTTTTTTGCAGCCTGTCAACTCCCAGCAGTTCTAGCAGCCTTGGGTGTTAAAGTGTCCTTGGCCTTTATTCCTGAATTCCTAGGAGGCTCTCAGGTGCCTGTGTCCAGCCGGTGCAAGGTAATATCGAAGGTAATATTTTCTTTCCATGCCTTTGCCTGAGGGAGGCTTCTGGGAGCTGAGATTCCTAGAACTCTACTGTAGACTTTTGAAAAAGAGTCCTCCCCATCCCCCAAGCCAGCCCAGGGCCCAAGTCTCAGATTTGGAAAGCTCCATGGAAAGAGCAGGGGAGTGGATGTCTTTAAAGAGAGCACAAGTTCCCCTGTAACTTTTTACAGTCTAGAGTTGCTATTATAAATGTGTTTGGGATGGTACTAATTCTGTGATACATATACAAGTTTGAAAGCCACTGATAATCTTCACTTTGTTTTGTTCTTGGATTTTGACTGCCTGTTATCTAAAGCAGTGGTCTTCAAAGTGGGGCACATGTTTAGTAAGCCATTGGAAAAAGGGAGAAAACACTGGATCCTCTATTTGTATTTCTTCTTTAAAATCTCATCTTTTAGGTTCTCACATGCCGTGGGGCAGCTAAGCCTGCGCACCACAGCTACCAAGCCCACAGGCCGCAAACTACAGAGCCTACGCGCTCTGGAGCCTGTGCGCCGCAACTAGAGAAGAGAAAACCCGCACGCCACAACAAGAGAGAAGCCTGAGCGCTGCGACGAAGAGCCTGTGTGCCACAACTAAGACCCGACGCAGCCAAAAAAAAAAAAAAAGTCCACATTAAATCTCATCCTTTAAATTTTTTGAGTAGATTTTATAGTATGTTGTTACATGATATATATAGTATTATTACAGTATAGAATAACAGTTCATATACATAATTATAAATCACATATTGGGTGATACTTGGACAACCTTAGGCAAGTTGATTAAATGCTTTAAAATGTCTCATTTTTTTCATACATAAAATAGAGATAATACCTATCTGTTTTTGTGAGGATAAGATGAAATAATACATATAAAGCATTAAAGCATATAAAAACTGCCTGGCATATGGTAAGCATTCAATAAATATTAGTACTCTTATTACAGTGGGTGAATGGGAGTGCATTTTCTTAGGCTATCTTTCAATATTGCTGTGTCTTTCGGTATTGCTATAAGCTGTATATCTGGCAAGGATAGTGGCTACTGATAAAATCTAGAAAGAGATTCATTTTTCCTATGGCTATCTTTCGGTTCAAATGAATAGCATTTAAGAACACTTGTTGCCTTAATTGAAAGGTCTTTAGGGGCAGCCAGTTTCCCACTCTAGTCGCATATTCCTTTTATGGCCTTCCATTCACATGTATACAGTCACTGCTTATCATGCAAAAGTCTTATTAACTAGTGGTTTGTCTATATTATCTGGCCTACTCTGGGCCAGGCTGAGGTTTTTGAAGAAGGAATGAAAAATGTCAAACTGAGTCCAAATCGTATTTCACAGGTATCCACTATTGAAGAAGAAATGTTTGGAGGTAAGTCAAATAGTGTGACAATTAAAAGTGTGCTCTTTTTGCAAATGAAGTGATGATAAATGGATATGCTCTTGAAAAAGCATATCCATTTATCTACCTGTGTTATGTGTACTATAGCACCTCATGAAGACCGACCTGAGATAATTATCCAAAAACACCAGATCATTGCATTTAACACTGTATTTTGATTATTTTGAGTTTCTGCCTACCACACCAGAATGTAAACTTCCCGATGTTAGGGACCTTGTCTGTCCTGCATCGCTTGTACTTTGAATTCAATAAGTATGTTGAATTAACTAGTTACTTGTCCGTAGTCACACAGCTAGTAAGTGGTAGACTGAGGATTTAAATCCACATCTTTCTTTACCTATTAGCTCATTTTATTTCACAGCCCTACAAGAAAGACATTATCTTCATTTCACACATATGGAAACTTCTGGAAAAAGCAGTGACTTGTCCGAGGTACCATAGGAGGTGAATGGCAGAAAGACATTCAAACCCGGGAATGTCTGACTTCCTCTATTACTCTGGCTACTTCCCCATTGGGCCTGCAAATCATTTGACCTTATTAGTGTGAAAGTTTTTTTTTGGCCGCGCCTTGCAGCTTGTGGGGATTAGTTCCCTGACCAGGGATTGAACCCTGGGCCCTTGGCGGTGAAAGCGGGGAGTCCTAACCACTGGACCGAAATGGTGCAGGGAATTCACTAACGTTTTCTTCTTAAGTGGTTTTATGTACAAACGCCATTTCAGTTGGAAGTTTAAAGTTATGGATCTGGAATAGTCATGGTATGGCAGCACAGCAGTGCATTCTCACATTTCCCTTCAAGAATAAAAAAGAAAACTTCCTTAGAGAAAACCTTTTCAAAAAGTTTTTTGGAAGGCTACTTAATATCCCCTAAAATCTGTGTACATATTTTAGCTGTTTTCTATATTGGTATTCTCCTTTTATATATGAGCAATAGTATGATCAGTCCTGTTTTCTAGTATTCTATAAGAGTAATTAGAATGATTCTTAGAATCATTTTACAAAACCCTGCTTGCCAGAAAATGATTGAGCTTGCCTGTTCTATGTACTGTATTTGGTTTGCCTCCTGGCTTGTGTACTCACCCAGAAAAGTTGTTGCTCTTTATTTCCAGCTGACAGCAGCACTGGGCCAAGTGTTGTGCTCATGGTGCAAATTCAGTGTTAAGAATTATCTCCTCAAACAGTCTTCATTGCATGGGCAAAAGGGATAAGCACCTGCCTCTGGCCTCTTCATGCTGTCAAATGAAGTGTCTTCCTGGGACTCCCCTGGTGGTCCAGCGGTTAGGACTCTAAGCTTTCACTGCTGGGGCTGGGAACTAGGATCTTGCAAGCAGCAGAGCCTGGCCGGAAAAAATAAAAGTTTAAAAATTTAAAATAAAACAACCATGATTTATGTATATTAAAAAAAAAAGTGTCTTCCTCTCGGCAGCCTTCCTAATACTGGATCCTCTCCTTTCTGACATTTTAGAATTAACGGACCGAAGAACCAGGGAAACATCTCTTCTGCTAAGTGGCTTGTATGGGGTGACCCATATGCCAGAAATCTCGCAACAGCTACATAGAAGGGGAGATTTTGTAAGCAAGCTAATTGTCCCATCTCTTCCTGTGATGGTGGAATGAAGAATATGGTAATTCAGAGGAGGTCATGGATATAAAAACTTGTTAAACTTTTAGCTTCACAAAATGAGGCTTTTCATTATTACGTGGTGCTAGGACTGAGGGCCCAAACACCTCATGTTATTTGAATATTCCCCATTTTATTTGCAGGTGAAGATCTCACCCCACCCATTCGTAACTAAAAGAGGCTGAATCCTTTTAATATGCTTTGGGCAGCACCTAGCACAATAAGGGATTAATAAATCTTTTTGCCAACGGTGATTAAAAGCACAGTTTCTGTAACAAGAATGCTGGGTTCAAATCCTGACTCCACTATTTATTAATCCTGTAATCTGAAAAATGGGGTCGGTAGTAGATCCAGCATCACAGGGTTGGGTTGAAAAATCCACGTTAGGAAGTTATCCCTTTGGGCGTGCGATCTGCACCAGAGCCTAAGGGAGCTCCTTCCTAAGCCCCACCTCCTGTCGTCCCCGTGCCGCGCAAGCGCAGCCCGGCTCCCTGGGCTACTCTCCCCAGGCTTGCGTGCTGGCCGTCGGCGGGAGATTGGGTCTCGCGACGTGCGTGTGCGTGTGCGCGTGCGCGGCACTCGCGAGCTCGCGCACGCCGCTCCTTGCTTCACGGGGCTGTGGTGGCCTCTTCCTGCTCGGTCCGGTCCTGCACTGTGAGCGGTGGCTGAGGTCGGAGCTGGGCACCAGCGTCCGCTTCGCCGCTGCCGCCGCCCTGCCTGCTTTTCCCTCTGTCTTGGGCTCTACGCGCAGTGTAGAGGTGCCGGGCTGGAAAGAGAGCGGCGCCAGCGTGAGGTTCCCAGCCGATGGGCAGCCCCTGGGCGCGCTGAGGGGCCGGGCTACTGGCGGCTGAGGTAGGTGGGCGCGCGGGGGTTTGTCAGACTGGCCGGGAGCAGAGTCGGGGCGGCGGGTGCTCGTGGAGAAGGCAAGGAGGGGGCCAGAATGAGGGCCTAGCCAGCTGGTGAGAACAGGTCTCCGACCCGCGCCTGAGAAGGGGCTCTGGCCTAGCTCGGAGCGAGAGGAGGGACCCCGGTCGTAGCCTGCTCTTCTCCGGGCTTGAAGCCATTATTTGGGGGAAATTCCTCCCGCGGCGGGGGGAGGGGTCACCCTTTTCTTTGCGAGGTCAGAATCCTCATTCCTCCCCGCCATCACTTTAAATTCATGCTTGCTGCCTTCGAGATGGACGTCTAGATGGAGTGGCCTGTGGACTTGACCAGCTTGCAGAACTCCGGTGCACGACAGCGGGCTATCAGTTATGATTATTGGAGAGGGTTCACAACCCTCTCTTTAGTGTGGGCGTGTAGTTGCTGCAAAGTTCTTATTGCTGATACATTAACAATCGCTTTCGGGCACAACAGGTAATGCATTTTTAAACGCCTCTTGTCAAATAAGGATTCCGGCACTGGGGAAACTGCGCCGTGGAGGCACAATTAAAGAGTAGAAAGAAGACAAAGAAGACCGTTATTTATGTTCTCTCCTAGTATCGGAACTTTCCGTGGTGGAGCAGGATGCGTCGCTACTGGCATTTGTTTTAGCCTTTGCTGAATAGACTTTCTGAGTGATTGAGGTCGATCACCAGTGGACTTTCCTTTAGAATTATAAAATCGCATATGATTTTAGCTAGTTGTTACAAGTCAAATGACCTGAAATAACCTCTGAGAATTATGTGGTGTTCACTTCTCGGAAGAGAGCAGAACTTGGTTTTCTTGAAAGGAAGATTTTCTCCATGTTTAAAAATGAATGCATTGTGAAGTTACTAAAAATAGATCTTTATGTTGACAGCGATGACTGCCACATTCAGGAGAAGGAAAAGGAATTATTTCGTAAAGAACAGCTCACGGAAAGACTTAAGGGGTTAAACACGCAGTAAAACAGCTTCAGGGATGGCAAGTTTTAGCATATGCTTTTAAGAATTCTAATTTAGTCATAGTTAAAATATATCGAAGCTCTTAGTGGATTCCCTTATATTTAGTGAACTATTTTAAAAGATTATTAACCTTTGCTAGTTCTGTATTCTTGGATTTCGTTCAGCCCAAACTTTCTAGAAATGTAGTATTCATTCTGACTCTATTAAGAAATGTGGCCTGCGTGCTTTCAATGAACTCTGTACTGTAGTATGGGAAGAGTCTTTCAAGAAAGAACAGTTAGCTGGCGAGACCTGAGGTGGAACCAGGGAGGCGTTATTAAATGTAGGATTAATGCTTGTATATGCACATACTGCATGCAAACATACAAATTCTGGGGTTTCCCTGGTGGCGCAGTGGTTGAGAGTCCGCCTGCCGATGCAGGGGACACGGGTTCGTACCCCGGTCCGGGAAGATCCCACGTGCCGCGGAGCGGCTGGGTCCGTGAGCTGTGGCCGTTGAGCCTGCGCGTCCGGAGCCTGTGCTCCGCAATGGGAGAGGCCACAGCAGTAAGAGGCCCGCGTACCGCAAACAAACAAACAAACAAACAAAACATACAAATTCTGCATGCGCCCGCCTGTGTGTGCGCGTGTGTTTATGTATGATGGTTATGCACACAAGGATCTAATGGTGCTGACTCCCATCTTAAAAAGTTGACACCTGAAAGTAGAAAGGGATTGGTTTTAGGTCTGTTTCTTGTTTCAGGTAACTTTTTTTAAAAAAAGATAAATTTACTTATTTATTTATTTTTGGCTGTGTTGGGTCTTTGTTGCTGCGTGTGGGCTTTCTCGAGTTGTGGTGAGTGAGGTCTACTCTTCGTTGCAGTGCACGGGCTTCTCATTGCGGTGACTTCTCTTGTTGTGGAGCACGGGCTCTAGGTGCGTGGGCTTCAGTATTTGTGGCACGCCGGCTCTTGAGCACGGGCTCAGTAGTTGCGGTGCACGGGCTTAGTTCCTCCATGGAATGTGGGATCTTCCTGGACCAGGGCTCGAATCCATGTCCCCTGCATTGGCAGGCAGATTCTTAACCACTGAGCCACCAGGGAAGCCCCTTTATTTAACTATTTACATGAGTAAAAGTCATAGTAAATTTCTTGTCCAGCTTCTTAATCAGTAATTGAGTAAGCAGAATATTGTACTGATTTCTTGGTGGTAGCAGGGAAGGAAAATATAGAACATATAGAAGACTTGCCCTTTAGAAATGTTCTTTAAGTCAGTATCTTACTATCTTCCCTGGGATAAAGAGCTTTACTCCTGTCTATTTGGGTCCTGATGCTTAGAATAGTGTTTTGCATGGAGTTGGCCCTCAATAAACGTGAGCAGTGTCAGAAGTTAATTAACATAATACAAACCAAATTCATAAATTCCTGGAGAAGATTAAAGTAGTTGAAGATGGGTGGATTTTTTTTTTTTTATTGCAGGTCTACTGTTTAAATGGTGTGTTTTTCTTCAGTGTTGGTTGTCTGAGTAAAGGATATGTGGCAGAATCTTGCTTCTGAAAGCCTAACATAATGTAAGCTGAGACTGTATATCCTGAGTGGTAATAGTTGGTGAATGTTCTGATATATTAAGAGAAAATGAAGTTAAAGGAAGTAAGGTCCAGAGGGAAGGTTTTGGTAAGTTAGTGATAGGAACTTAAAAGGCATGAGCTATAAACCATTGAAACAGATTATAGGAAAAAACATTTTCTCCCTTTACTGGCAGTGCTACTTGTGGAAGAGAACTGGTACCTTTCTATCTCTTTATACTAGAGCTTTCCAGCAGGGTGATTTCTGAATAATAAAATTGAAAAAGGGATCACTTTGGGAATTCCCTGACAGTCCAGTGGTTAAGACTCTCGGCATTTTCACTGTGTGGTCCAAGCCTCAGGGCACGGCCCAAAGAAAGAAAGAAAAAGTGATCACTTTTTCTCTTATAATTTGCTCAAAGGTCTCAGTGTGTTTCTCTTTGTATTTGCATGTGGGCTCTAGTCTAGTTTTATTGGCAATAAACTAGTATTTTGATTCCTATCTAATTCCTATGTATATTTCTCAGTTTATAACTTGTAGGGGAGAGGAATGTGGTTGGTCCCTTCACAAATCCCAACGTTGGCTTTTTTTCAATTTGGAAAACAAATCTATTTGATTTAGATGTTGTAGATGTTATCAATAGAAAGGTTCTGTGGATATTTGGAGAGGTTATCAACAGAATGGTTTTATGATTATTTGGAGAAGTTATCAACAGATTTTATGGATATTTGGAGAGGTAGGAGCTTAAGATGTGAATAAAAACTTCAACAAGAGTGTTTTATTTTATTTTTTTATAAATTTATTTATTTATTTATTTTTAGCTGAGTTACGTCTTCGTTGCTGTGCGTGGGCTTTCTCTAGTTGCGGCGAGCGGGGGCTACTCTTCATTGCGGTGCACAGACTTCTCATTGAGGTGGCTTCTCTTGTTGCGGAGCACGGTCTCTAGGCACGCGGGCTTCAGTAGTTGTGGCTCACGGGCTCTAGAGCGCAGGCTCAGTAGTTGTGGCGCCTGGGCTTAGTTGCTCCGCGGCATGTGGAATCTTCCCGGGTCAGGGCTCGAACCTGTGTCCCCTGCATTGGCAGGTGGATTCTTAACCACTGTGCCACCAGGAAGGACCAACAGGAGTATTTGAAATTGAGTTTTCTGTTTTCATTTTAGTATAGCTGAGTGATTCCCATGATAGGTGGCAGATTTTTCCCCCCAAGGAATATTTGCCAATGTCTGGAGAATATTTTGCTTGTCACAGATTGGGAGGGTAAAGAGGAGGGCTACTGGCATCAATAGGGTGGAGTGGGTAGACGCCAGGGATGCTGCTAAGCATCTTAAAATGCACAGGACAACCCTATCCTCCACCTTCCCCCACCCAAAAGAATTATCTGACTCAAATGATAGTGGTGCTGTTGAGAACCCCAGTTGGTTCTGAAGTCAGATTATCTGAATTTGTATTTGGCTTTACCATTTCCTAATGTGTGACCCTGGCAAGTTGCTTAAAGTTCCTACCTCAGTTTCTGTAAAACAGAGCTAACAGTATGTTCCCCATGGAGTTGAATTGTAGTGATGATTAAGTCAGATAATGTGCAAAGGGCCAAACTTATTACCTGGCACGTAGAAAAATCTGAAAAAACTTTCAGCTAATATCATTATATTTGGAACACATCTTGATGATCTCTTCTTATTTCTTTTTTTTTTAAACATCTTTATTGGAGTATAATTGCTTTACAATGGTGTGTTAGTTTCTGCTTTATAACAAAGTGAATCAGATCTCTTCTTATTTCTCATCTGAAATTAGAATTTGAGCAAATGAAGTGATAATAAACTCATTCTCTATCCTTGGGGAATAAGTGAAGAATCACTCCATTTAATGTTTGTGTTTAGCTCACTCTTGTTTTATGTTTTCAAGTCTATAAGGCTTCTGCCATAAACAAGTAGCTTCTCATTGTAAATGTTTTTCCTTCATAGTTAAGACTTTAAGCTAGCTGGCCAGTGGCTCTATATCTGTTGATTCTCAGCAAATATTTAGTAATGTAACTGAATTCAGTTCTTTGACTTCATTTCCTTTTACCTTTATAACTGAAATAAATTTGCAGTGGTTTTGGCTCACATTGATAATCTATTCTTAGCCTCTGGGAGTAACTATTTTCATAACTGAGGTTTTGGTACAATTTTACATTTATGAAAGGTGCAGGCGAACATCTAACAACTTGGGGCTGGACCTTCATGTACATTTGTGACTCTTTCAAAATATGAATTGGAACCCATGTGGTTTTTTTTGTTTTTTACCTTATTGAAATATAATACTGTAGTCTATATAGACTCTCATTTTCTGTGTGTCTAAACGATATGGCTAAATAGAGGAGCAATTCACAGGGATGTCTTCACAGATAGAGAGTTTGGACTATTTGTTAATAAGCCACAGAGCTCTTGTAAGGGAAGAAGATCCACATCATTATTTATGGTCAAGGGAGAAAGCAGTGTTGCACATTCAACTTTTTGTCTTGATAACCACACTTTTAAAATAGAAAATATTTTATTATGATTGTTACACGTATTTTTGTAGTATAAGTGTCTGTAGTTTCTATAAATGTTCACTTATTTCAGCTAATGGAAACCTTTTTTTTTTTTTTTTTTTTTTTGTGGTACGTGGGCCTCTCACTGTTGTGGCCTCTCCCGTTGCGGAGCACAGGCTCCGGATGCGCAGACTCAGCGGCCATGGCTCACGGGCCCAGCCGCTCGGCAGCATGTGGGATCTTCCCAGACCGGGACACGAACCCGCGTCCCCTGCATCGGCAGGCGGACTCTCAACCACTGCGCCACCAGGGAAGCCCTAATGGAATCTTTGTTTACCCTTTATGTTGTTATTGCCTCCTGTTTGGATAGAATAGTTTAAAGGGAGTCAGTACCTTTGGCCAACAGATTGTGTTCTTTCCTTGGTACATTCTATCTTTTGTAAAGTGTAACATACACTCAGGATTCTGTATAAATAATAAATGATGATAATGATAAGGAAGTGTCCACCTTGTGAAAACTGGCCAGATCAGAAGTATACATGTGGGAAATATAATGAAAGGCCAAAGGAAGACATTCTGAGAATGCTAGGGAAACTTAAGAAAAAAAGAATCATGTTAATAACAATTCTTGTCTTTATTATTATCTTTTTAGGATTTAGTAGTCTAAAAGAAAAGAGCCTACAAAATGTAACAGATTTCATGTACACACTTTGCTAATTCCTAAGCAGAGAACATTATAACTACAAAATCAGTACTAGAGTTATCTTGCATGGCATTTGTGCCTGCCAGTGATTAAATTGAGAAAAAAAAAAGTATCTGAATCTGCTGATGTGTGTTTGTTTATAAGTGGTCTGGAGTCCTGCCTGTCAGCTAATTTTAGAGAGCCTGCATAGTTGTTGGAAGACAGACTGTTTTCCCACTAAATGCTGTCATACAGATATATATTTGTATATGTGTATTTATGCATATTTGTCTTTTATTTTTGGTAGAAAATGATGCATCCCGTTGCCAGCAGTAATCCAGCTTTTTGTGGGCCTGGCAAACCTTCCTGCCTCAGTGAAGATGCCATGAGAGCTGCTGATCAGTTTGACATATATTCCTCCCAGCAAAACAAATACAGCCACACAGTCAGCCACAAACCAATGGCTTGTCAGAGGCAAGACCCATTAAATGAAACACACTTGCAGACTACAAGTGGCAGAAGCATAGAGATAAAAGATGAACTAAAGAAAAAGAAAAATCTCAACCGATCTGGTAAGCGTGGCCGGCCTTCAGGAACCACCAAATCAGCAGGATACCGGACCAGCACGGGCAGACCCCTGGGAACCACCAAAGCAGCTGGATTTAAGACAAGTCCAGGCAGACCTTTGGGTACAACTAAAGCTGCGGGATACAAAGTCAGCCCAGGGAGACCTCCAGGTAGCATTAAAGCTCTATCCCGTCTTGCCGATCTTGGTTATGGCTGTGGGACTGCTGCTTTTCCTTACCCTATGATGCATGGTAGAGCAGTTCATGGCGTAGAGGAAACCAGCAGCGAAATCAAGCCGCCCAATGAGTGAATGAGACAGGAAAGGAGGGCCAGGTTTAGAAGGAAGATTGTGAATAATCCCAAAGCTTCTTGGTTTTATTTTGACATACATGATTTTATGGCCTGGGCTTTCCAAATTTGTTTTCCCATTTGATTTTTTTTTTTCCTGCTTTTGCTCGGAAACTGTCATATGCTGGCAGATGCACTCAGGGCATAGCAGTGGCATTGTCTTTGTACATAGGTTCAAGTGTAACACCTATCTAAATCATTTTTGCTTTTCCTTTAGAGTTATGGTTGTGTCTCATTTCATTACTACTTTTGGGTCATTCTAAATAGATGCTTCATGTGCTAAACAACTGAAACCATTATACCTATTAGTTTGTGAAGTAAGCTTATAATATAATAAAGATAATATCTAAGGTATTTTTAACTGATGGAACAAAGCAAACTAATGATTCAGGATTACTTGAGGTAGTGGCTGTGAGGTTTTTTGTAACATGTTCATGAGACAAGACACAGATATTTGTATGCTTTGGCATTTACTTAGATTTCATATGTTAAAAATCTTATTTTTAATATTCTAGGTTTAAGCAGCTTCCTATTTATTGATCTACATGGCATTAATTGATTTAACTATTATTCCTTTAAAAATTCTTTAGTGTTTGCCTTTCAGCCATGTTAGGTTGTGTAGTTTTTAATTGCCTAAGAGCATGTATACCAAACACTACAAACAATTCATATTTACAAAAAAATAAACTTTTTTATAAAAACTGCACATTACATTTTTGGTGAAATATTGAATACAGTGCATTCTGAGAATAGCATATTTAATATAATAGGAAAAGAAACATTCTTAAGGTCTGCATGTTGCTATAGTTACTACATTTTGTCTTTCGTATACTTAGTTTTAAAGCATTATGCTTAAAACATTTATTAATGTTCATTCATTAAGAATATTTTTTAGTTTTTTTTGATAAATTGTCCCATTGCATTAGCAGTTACTGTGGTTTCAGGTCTGTATCTACCAAAGGACAAAAATTGAATGGTAGACCGTAAAACTGGTATAAACAAAATGTAGTTTTCTGACTATCAGAACCCAAATATTAAGAAGTATATAGGAATCCATCTATGCATGAAACATGTAAGAAATATGTTGGTTAGTTTAATTAAAAATCTCATGGTTGCTCTAGTGAGACCACTTCATTCAAAATAAATTTTTTTTCTGACACTGTTTGCTTTAGAAGCAAAATAGATAGGAAAGAAAAAAACGTATTGGCTAGATACGTATAGAAGGGACAGGGAGATATCTCTGTTCCCTCTTTCTGAAAGTAATAGTCTTTGTTAATATACATTTTATTTATTCTGAGTTCTAAATAAAATAAACTATTATAAACTTTGGATTTGGAAAAAAAAATCCACTGAACTTTAAAGTTACAGTGTATATGTATTTGTGAGCTTAAATGCCTTTGAGATTATAATGTAGATTTGCAGGACCCCAAAACTTTTAAAATAATTAAAATTTTAAAAGGGCACATACTGTGTTGTTTGGGCTTGCGCTCAGTTACTGCAAACTCTGACTGCAAATGGATGTCATGTTTCATACCTTTTTTATCAGGAAAAAAGCAGCAAGCCTTCAGGTGTTCCAGTGATGCCTGACACAATGAGCTGGACTTTATGCTGCTCTTTACAGTAAGAGGTGTTGCATTGTATGTGGGGACTGTGTGTGCACTGGCATCTAAGACAGTGACCTCAACAATTTTAGCTTTGCACAAACCATAGAGAACAATGTTGGATGACTACATATTCAGTTGTAACATTCTGGCAGCTAAATTGCAACAAGAGTTTCTTCTTGCAGAAGCTTAAAATATAAAACTTTTAAAATAATTTACTTTGAACAGTATAACTTCTGACACACACACAGATGCTTATGTCTTTATTCATATGTTCATCCATCCACTTTTATTATGTATCTGTCATTTAGTTGTTTCTCAAGATGATGTTCAGCAGTTGGCTGCTTAGAAATCCTCTTTTGAATTCCTGAAAACAGTTGTTTAATTAAATGTTCTTCCATGGAATTATATATATCACTGTCAAGGGTTTGATTGCAGGTTGTGTTTTATAGTACACCCATTTGACATTTCCCTTTCGGTTTATTTGCTTTCCTGATTTTGTTATACATGCTCTTTCTCCCTGCCTTTTTCTACATTCATTCCGCTCCCCCTTTCTCCATCCTCCAGCACATCTACTCGGTGGTGCTGTGCTGTGTGTCAGAAGATAAAGCAGGTGTGTTAATGTATGATGAATCTTATATACAAATTAATGAAATGGTGAGATCAACTAAAGGAAGTATGATCATAACACTGTTTATTAACATCAGGAGCTATGTCCCAGGAAAAAAAAGGGGGCGAATGGCTACTTTTGTGAATGGATAACATCATTTAAAAAGCTGAATTTTCTGTGTTCATGTGAGTCGTTACCTGAAGTATTAGATCTGTGTGCTGATGAGCATCTCCTGATTCCACTTCCTTTTCTCCTTGTGAACAGTTTGTTGGTGCCATGATGAAGAGAAAGACATCTAAATGATAACATGAATGAAGTCTTAAAATACAAAATATTTTTACTTCTCTATAAAGACTACATTGTGCATCTTTTGTAACACTGTCTCTTGTCATGATAAACACTGAAATAGCATGTTAAACAATTGCCTATACTTTAATATAATCAGTTGGGGAAAACTGGCCTTTTCCTCCCACTGTATGATTGTTCCTTGAAAGGTAAATTAGTAATTTTATATTGTGTAATTCTGTTCTTCACAAAATAGGTTTCACTATTCTATATTAAAACTTTGGTCAGAAAATGATCTGCTCTTCAAGTAAGTTTGCTTTACTTTTTTCTTTAAAAAATGTTTTAACATGCCTTATTTATTCTTATATTAACAAATTAGGAGCTAATACAGGTGAAACTTTCATTTTTTGACAGCTATAACCTTGCATAACTAATCTTTAGCGTGGGATGATTTTGATACTATCTTTGGAGTTTTGCACTGGATATTTAAAAAAATGCTAGCACAGTGTATTGGAAGAAAATAAGTGATTAATTTTTAATATTTGGGGATGTTTTAAAAATCAGTATTTCAGTTAGACTAAAAAATTCTTTATATTTTTTATTTACTTTTTAAAAGAAACATCTGTTAAAGTAGTAAAAGTAATACTCATTCCAAACTAATGTTTATGTGAATTTACATGTATATTTTCATGAAATAAGAATAGCATTTCTTTGAATTAAGGAGGAAAAAAAATTATCTGGATCCATTTATTAGGTTAAAGGTGATTCATCCAATGTAAGAAAAACCAGTGTATGAGCTAAAGAAAATAAGTTTCTCTTTTATATTCTAAGATGCTTTAAAAGAACAATTCAGGGGATATTGACAATAACTGCTACTCTGTCAGTCATTGTCTATATATGCAGTAAAATTTTATGATCCCTTTATAGTAAATTATCAGTATAAGAATTCACAACAGTTGTTCAAAACGTTTTTTCCCTTGAACATAAGATATTTTGATGCTATTATGTCTTTGTTTTTATTATATAGCTTAACTATATGCTATTAAACTCTAGGATGTATCTAAATCTTTCCTTTGCTTTTCCCCCCTACTCCCAAGTAGATAAATCTGTGCTCTCACAAATAATGTATTTAATTTTTGGAAAATTTAATGCTATAGTAAATCAAGCTTGTGATTTATAGTAATCAGACCACTTTGATTCTTTGAGTTTCACAGTTTCCTTTTTCCACAGGTAATTATGGAGAAAATAATTACCAGTTAACTGATATAAGCACGCTGTTCTCTGCTGTAAAAAGTCTCAATAGATACTGTGTATGTTTTTATGTCCATGAACTTGAGCTACTCGTGTGCAATTATGTGTATGGGAATGGAGTAGTGTTCATGATTTGTATCTACGTCATCATATGGATGTATATTTATTAATAAAGTCATTACTTTAAAACCAACTATGTTTACTACTTTATTTCTTAGCAAAGTATTTTCCAAGTAGGGTAATTGTAAATGGTAAAACCTCTTTCATGATTGGTGGTCTTGTATTTTCCTTGGGTTGTGCTTTCTGAAATCTGCCTCTCTCTACTTGTTTTTCTCAAAATAGTAATTATTTATATATTTGTAATTTAAACTTCTAACTTATAAATGAATCTCATTTTCTTCCAATTATTAAGATACTTCAGGCTAATGGTTCTACTAAAGGCTTAAGTTATTATTATTTTTTAATAAATTTATTTATTTATTTTTGGCTGCATTGGGTCTTTGTGGCTACGCACAGGCTTTCTCTAGTTGCGGCGAGCGGGGGCTGCTCTTCGTTGCGGTGCGCTGGTTTCTCATTGTGGTGGCTTCTTTTGTTGTGGAGCATGGGCTTTAGGCACACGGGCTTCAGTAGTTGTGGCACGTGGGCTCAGTAGTTGTGGCTCACGGGCTTAGTTGCTCCACAGTATGTGGCATCTTCCTGGGCCAGAGCTTGAATCTGTGTCCCCTGCATTGGCGGGCGGATAACCACTGCGCCACCAGGGAAGCCCTAAAGGCTTAAATTTAAATGTGATTGATCCTTTTAGTTTGAAAAGTTTAGATATTAAACGTGGCTAACTTAATGTTAACCTTAGGGATAACAGCATGTGCATATTTTGTAACCGTCAAATATTGGAGGTATAAAAAGAAAAACACTTTCTCCTAATTATTTGAATATCTAATTACCTTTTCCATTTTCTCTGAATCCTGCATATCATCTGGAACAGAGGCTGGCAAACTAAGACCCACTGCCTGTTGTTTTTTTTTTTTTTTTTTTTTGCGGTACGCGGGCCTCTCACCGTTGTGGCCTCTCCCGCTGTGGAGCACAGGCTCCGGACACGCAGGCCCAGTGGCCATAGCTCATGGGCCCAGCCGCTCCGCGGCACGTGGGATCCGCCTGGACTGGGGCACGAACCCGTGTCCCCTGCATCTGTAGGCAGACTCTCAACCACTGTGCCACCAGGGACGCTCCCCCACTGCCTGTTTTTGTAGTTTCATTGGATTAACCATTCCCATTTGTTTACATATTGTCTCTGGCTGCTTTTGCACTACAATGGCAGACTTGAGTAGTTGTGACATAAGTCCTGCAAAGCCTAAAATATTTACTGATTATTCCTTTCCTTACAGAAAAGTTTTCTGACCCCCCTCATCTAGAAGGACAAATTGGAGTAGGAAACAGCAAATACAATATAAAATTGAATTTCAAAACCTGAGCAAGTGATGGTTTTGGGGTTTTTTTTTTTCTGGCCACACCACACGGCTTCACTGTGGAACTTCACTGGCCAGGGATTGAACCCACACTCCCTGCAGTGGAAGTGCAGAATCTTAACCCCTGGACCACCAGGGAAGTCTAGTGATGGCTTTTTTTTTTTTTTTAGTAATTTTATTATTTATTTATTGGCTGCATTGGGTCTTCGTTGCTGTGCACGGGCTTTCTGTCTAGTTGCGGTGAGCGGGGGTACTCTTCATTGCAGCACGTGGGCCTCATTGAGGTGGCCTCTCGTTGTGGAGCACAGGCTCTAGAGTGCAGGCTCAGTAGTTGAGTCTTAAACTCAGGTTTAAGTTAGGTTCCTAACTTAAAGGAAACTTGTAGCTGCTTCAAAATCAGTGCCAACTATAAATGTTATCTAAAAAACAAAGTACAATACCCCATTGGAGTGAAAGTATAAACAGGTACAGTAATAATGGCTTCTTAGTACAGTGCTTGCCATAAATAATAAATACTTTACATGATTTATTTTGTTAAACCATTGCAGTTTTATTGAATGGTGTCAAAGGAGTTGGAATATCCCTTTACTGGTAAGAAAACTTGAACCCCAGAGAGGTTAAATAATTTACCCAGAGTCATGACACCCAGTAAGTGGTAAGAGTCAGCATCTGAACCCATGCAAAACTGGGGCTCTTAAGCTTCTACTCACCATTGGAAAAGTTTAAAAAAGAGGTTCTGCTTTTAGTAGGTATTTTTGTGCTGGTCCTGAAATAGATAAATGTGGCCGTGGAATTCTAATAATTTGTCTCCTTGCCAGTGGCCATTCTTTTCTGAGAACCTAAGGGATCTTGAAGTAGCTTCTTTGTAAGGAGGGTGACAGAGCCTTTTTTTTTAAGTTTTCTCTGTCATTTTTCTCATTACTCTTAAAATCTTTAAAGGTTTTTTTTTCGCTGCATTGAGTCTTAGTTGTGG